ACCCCCTTGTTCTCCAAAATAATGGAATTCGTTATAAACTGCCACCTCATGCGGTACCTTGAGGATCACCAGCTGATTAGTGACCGCCAGTACGGATTCAGCTGGTGATCTTCTGGTCTACTTAACTCATAGATGGGCGGAGGCAGTAGAGTCCAAGGGGGAGGCATTGGCCGTTAGTATGGACATTGCGAAGGCCTTCGATCGGGTTTGGCACAAAGCGCCTCTTTCGAAGCTCCCTTCCTATGGGCTTCCTGAGAAATAATGCAATGGGATCACCAGCTTTCTTGCAGATCTGAGCATCAAGGTCGTTGTAGACGGTGCATGCTCCGACTACAAGCCTATTAACGCTGGTGTTCGTGGTCACTTGGAAGAGAAGGCCAAATTGGCCTCTAAAAAGCTTGGCGTGCTCAGCAGAGCGGGACAGTATTTCATGCCAGCTCAACGCCTGCAACTTTACAAGGCGCAGGTTCGGCCTCACATGGAATACTGTTCCCATCTCTGGGCTGGGGCTCCCCAGTGCCAGCTCCTTCCACTTGACCGCATCCAGCGCAGAGCGGCTCGAATCGTCGACGACCGAGTCCTTTTCGATCGGCTCGACTCATTGGCACTGCGAAGAGATGTTGCATCTCTTTGCATTTTCTTTCGCATTTACCATGGGGAGTGCTCTGAGGAATTGTTCGGATTAATCCCAGCCGCTAAATTTCACGAACGCACATCGCGGCAGATCTCCCAATACCATCCACACCATCTGGATGATTGGCGGTCCACCACTGTGCGATTTAGAAGATGTTTTCTTCCTCGCACAACTTCCTTGTGGAATAGTTTACCACCAGCGATTTTTCCGGACCGATACGACTTAGGGACCTTCAAGAAAAGAGCCTACTCCTTTTTAAAAGGCCGGCAACGCATCTGCAATTCCCCTGGTGTTGCGGTTGTTCATGGGCGACGGTAGTCACTTACCATCAGGTGAGCCGCATGCTCGTTTGCCCCCTCTCCTATAAAAAAAACTCCTTCTATTCATTGAGGACGTAGGGCTTAGCAGTGAATTATAGACATAGCAGCGATCACGATATATCTTTTAGGTCGCAGTGATACCGGTCTCACTTTCAAGACTTTCATAGCTGCTCGCGCATTAAATAAAAACATCGCATCTGTAGCCATGGTCTATATATAGTGTGAAAATGTAATGTCTATGAAAATGATTTTGTATCGTACTTTTGATTCCTTCTGTATCGGTAAAAGAAATTATTCAAGATCATGTATTTACATAATAATATTTTTAAAGGGAATAACATACTACCAATGTTAATTTTATTTTTTGTTTTGTCTACCTGTCGCCGAACAAATGTTTGATTATGACCTAATTGAATGATTACATTGACCACCATCGACATCAACATCAACATCGTCTCAACTTCAACTTTCGGTTCGGCGTCAACAGCCGCCGGCTTATAGCAACAAATTAACTATGTATGTGGCATGAATGTGTAATTAACTAATGGCTGACAGCAAGATATGAGTAGTCTCCGGTAAACAAAATGTGGATAATGTGCGGTCTACTAACAGTGCACTATTTTTATTTAAATTTTGAACAAAGATATATATGTAAATGCGTTTGTAAACAACAAAGTACTGTTAACTATTATTAATTTAAGTAATGATCATGAACTCTGATGATCCTAGTTATTACTGAATGTAAATACGTCTACAAAATTTAATTTCGGTATTCAAGGTTATTCAGATTTTTACATTGGTTAAAGATGTTATTCGAATATTTCATTACAAACTTTATTAGCTTGATTTTGTATGTACATACAACATATAAAATCAAGCTAATAAAACCGTGTTATTAAAGATACTCGCTAGTCTCATGGACTCAATAAAACCGGTGCCCGACTCAACATGTCTCTTATCGAGGATTAGAGAACGCGATGACGTGAAAAATGTTGCCGCTAAACAAACAATGCTTTTAGGGATTTATGTTCGTAATTCCCGGGTGACTGCACACTTTTGAGTGTTATTGTTTTATAAAGAGAAATACTGACAGTCGTTGACCTATTTCAAGTACGCACTTATGTTTTATTACCATCCTTTAATATTTATCATAATTTTGCTCAGAATTAATCACCTCAAATAATTAACCTTCGCTTGACGGATAAATAGGCGATCATAGTTCAAGATGTCACTCCTCTTAGTTTTTGTCATAGGTCTGGTTAATTTTGTCATTGTAATTTTCGATACGGTTATTCCAAAAAATACCACTAAAGGCATGTTCTCATGTTGGCATGTTGACTCAGCACCTAACTAGCACTTAATTCCCTGTTATTAATATTTATCGTATATGTATAACTTTATTGCGTTGCTAGCGATACGTTTTGTTAGCAACGCAAATATTTAAAAGTTCTTTTTTTTTCTTATATTTACGCGAACACTACACATTAAATAAAACTATTTTTACGGATTTTATCGCGTTTAATTAACTTATTTTATATTCCCGACGTTTCGGTTGCTTTCCAGCAACCGTGGTCACCTCAGTCCCCCGTGACCACGGTTGCTGGAAAGCAACCGAAACGTCGGGAATATAAAATAAGTTAATTAAACGCGATAAAATCCGTAAAAATAGTTTTATTCAATTTTAAAAGTTCGTTGTGGTGAAAAGTTAAGAGCACCTAATTTTTAAACTTGGCACCTAATTAGCACCTAAAACGCCCCTAATTTTGGGTTTTCTAAATGCAAATAACTGACTTTGTGTTGCTGGCGATACACAACACGAATCAACCGATCGAGATGGGCGACATGGCGTTCGAAAGTTTTCATTGTGACTTCTAGCTAATTAGATTTTCAAGTCAATCGGTCTAGCCGTTACAAATTTTTCAAAAGTAAAAACTTAAAAAAAAAACATTGTTTTTAAGTTTCTTTTCAACAACTTTCAAAATATTTGATTAATCAATTCCAGAAATCAAAAACACTTTTTGTACTTAAGGCGACACCGCGAAAAAATGCACCTCCTTTCATCGAATAGTATAGGAGTATGAGACGACCAAGGAAACTGGAATTTTGATATAGGTAAATTCATGTATTTATCTGGAATTTGCTTGTTCAAAAACACATATTTAAATCATAATTATTTGCGAAAACTCCTCTAAAATCACTATAATTGAAATTACAACGAAGTTAATTAATCTATATGCTTGGAAACCACTGAAATACATTCATAACATCAATATTCGTAATTTACTTGCTCATTATTTTGATTACTAAAATCAATAATTTTTAAAAATACTTTAATATTCTAAGCGATTTCTAAGCGGTCTTAATCGTCGCAGTCGCTACGCAATTTTAAACCTTATGAAGGCGTTTTTGAAGTTTTTATAGAAATTATGTTTACTCGGGTCATTCCGGCGATAGCCCGCTTCAATTGTATTCGATGTGTCGCCTTAAAAAACTGCGGCGATTGCCGCCAAGCAAGTCTAATCGAACGACTTGAATCTATACATAATTATAATAAATCTGTAAAAAAGTTGTGTCTGTAATTCTAATATTTTCTGGAAAAAATAATTCCAGGGGACTTAATAAAGGGCACTGAAGCCAAATTTGTGGTTTTTAGAATTTTTGTCTGTCTGTCTGTCTGTGTATTACCGTTTCATGCAAAAACTACTGGAAAGATTTCCATGAAATTCTGTGTGTAGATAGTTATACCTACTTATAAGCGCTACTTTTTATCCGATTACGGATCATCAAAAAAAGAGGGTTAAGTATTTTCCTTCCTCAAGATGTTAATTTCTATTTTATATTATTGATTATTGATTTTTTTTAAATAAATAACATATTTATAAATAAAGCTTAAAATGAGTTTAAAACGTTGCGTTATAATTTTAACTACGCCAACAATCTAAATTTCACTTTATCAAAACAGTGCCATCTAACGTGAAATCCAAAAAGTAGTAACATTTTTACCTCCAGTTACTAATAAATAAAATAAAATATATAAGTTACATTTATATGTTTAATAATTTAATTCATAATTATTTGAAACACATACATTTTAGATGATTGTTTTCAGATGATTGTTTGTAGATGATTGTTTTCGTTTTATTTAAGTACAGACTTGTAACCTGTTTGTTGTGCAGACGATACCAATTATGACCTGCTTCATAATATAAATATTATGTATGTTCTTAGTGAGACAGTTTGTAGGAAACAATTGTAATTACCATTGTCTTATTACTGGAATGTTTTTCTTTCATATCTTTTGTTTCTGTTTTGTCTCCAATAAAGTAAATAAATAAACAAATAAATAATAAAAGGGCAGTATCATCGGCATAAGAAATAAGCGTCCCATTTATCAATCTTGTCTGGAACATGCTGTTTATATAGGTCAAAAAAAAAGGTAGGACCCAAAATACTACCTTGTGGTACGCTATGGGAGACTGGAAGATCATCACTTATCCAATTTCCTATTTTGACACTTAGCGATCGGTTAGTGAGATAACTCAAAAAATTTCAATTGTAATCCTCTGACACCTATCTTGTACAATTTGTTAATTAACAGTGGAATAGAGACCGTGTTAAATGCCCTAGCCAAATCAAGAAATACTGCTATTAGTTTTTTCTTGTCGTCCATATGTTTAACGGTATAAATTAAGAATTCTTGTAGCTTTGCCATTTCTAAAACCAAATTGCGCATGTGGTAAGAGATTTTTTGATTCAAGATACCTGACCAGTCTATTATTTACTACTTTTTCCAAGATTTTCGAAAATACTGGCACTATAGAAATGGGCCGATAATTATCGAAACAGACTCTATTTCCGCTCTTATGAATAGGGTGAATCATTGAACGTTTTAATTCGTGAGAAAATACTTATTATTATGTAATAATATAACGAATAATACTATTATTAACTTTTAATGCTAAAACAATGTTTATAGATTATTATTTTCAATAAATATAGTGAAGTTAATTAAATAAATACATAAAAGGGGATTAAAGCGTCATCTATTACGAATGGTTTCCTTGACTTGCAATATACTTCATCTTTTTTGTGGTTTTGGTAGTTGAATTGGTCTTGGTTATCGTGGTTGTAGGCGTTGTTGTCGTGTTTGTAGGCGTAATTGTTATGGTTGTGGGAGTGGTTGTCGTGTTTGTGGTTGTGGTTGTCGTGGTTGTGGGTGTGGTTGTCGTGGTTGTAGGAGTAGTTGTCGTGGTTGTAGGTGTAGGTGTAGTTGTAGACATTGGAGTGGCTGTTGTAATGGTGGTTGGTGTGGTAGTGGGTGTCTTAGCGGTAGTGGGTGGTACAGAAGTGGTTGTCGTCGTCGTTGGACTAGTGGTTGTACACGATGGTGTGATCGTATGCCTTTCTTTAAATTGTTTGATTTTTTGCGTTGTCTGAATACCGCTAAGTATCGCCTTCACCACACGCGCTGGTATCCAGTGGCCGGGCATATTCGCTTCCACAGGGTTCGCAACAAATACAAGAATCGTCTTCTGGATTTGGCCATTTCATACTGTGGATTACTACTCCATATAGTAATATAAGGGTTATCGCTCTGAGATTTACATTGAGCACCACTGAAAAATATTTTAAAATACATTAACTTTCAGTTGTCATTTAGTGATAGCTCACACTAAAACCGAACAAAAGGTATAAGCAGAAGATCACGTACATTTTTAGTGATGCCGAAACCATGCTCAACTTCTAGATTCACGCACTCACGTACACATCTTTCTTGTTTCTTTTTATCACTTAAAGAAAATACGTGTGCCCACTCTATGATTATCCCTGAATCGTGGGAGCAGTTTATAGATTAAACACAAAAGGAAAAACATTCAGGGTCGACACCATTATTTGTAAAACGATTACTTGTTTCGTTAGGGATTCGAACCTGCGAGTTTCAGCACCGCAACTCATTGCTACGCCACTGCGCCACGGAGCTGTCTGTTACGGCCTACAGCTTCCCTTGCAAAGATCGTCTTGGCTGGGGCCCACAGCAGCTTCTTCGACGGGCAGACGCAGGTCGGGCCTCAATATGGCCACGTGGAATTTTTTATCACAATAAACTATATGGGAGCAAACTAGAAAGCAAAGGTACTTACCTGTATCAGGAGCCAACTTCGCTCCAAGGCTTGGGCAGGACGTGAGTGTGTGTAATGGTAGATAGCGAGTCGTGTACAGTGATGTGTGAATGTGTGGGGCCCTGGCAAGCATAGGCGACCAGCAGCGACCGAGTTCCAGGCTGCTCCAAAATGCTGCATCGCTCCAGGCTGCTTCAGCGCCGGACCACTTCTTTCTTCACTGTCACTGATTCAGTCTCTTAGCTTCATTGTACATTTAACTAACTTCAATTCGCCTAATTCCACACTGACCGCAGAATCGAACACGTGATACCCGACACGGCAACGGACAGTAGTGCAAAGTTCAACATTCAACGTCCCGGATTCACTTATCACAAATTATAAATTCGACACAGAATAACACGTCGCACAAGATTCAAAATACGCCTCGTTGACATGCAAATTAATTTAACTTTGCAAACAACCAAAACACAAAAAGGCACTAACGCGACGACCCAATTATAACGATATCCTGCCAATTAACCGGGATAAGCTCTCAAACAAGGAATGCGCGGCTTAATTCTAGACCGTATATCTCCTCGACGCGCGTACATTATCCGCACTCTCGCACGTGTTAACTATCGCACAATTCACATATCTACGTGACGAAGAAACACGCACTTCATCTAGCTAAATCCTAGACCACCAAATCCGAAGCGAATTTCACGAAACCCAATTACGTAGCGAATACCACGCGCCCAAATCCAAATTCTAGACCCTAATCACCCAAAACCGGTCTCGCCTGAACTTCCGCAGCGATAGCCGAAACACTCGGCTTAACCGGGTCGCTGCTAGCAAGCTAATACTGTCACCTACTGTCTCGCCCGACCGCCAAGACGCTGGGAAGCTCCCTTCCGCTGCCCCCTCCCCGACACACGCGTGACACCTGGTACGATCGGGCGATTGGCGAAGTCGAACGTGATTGGGTGCTGTCCTAACATGACCATTTTTGGCCTAAACACCGTCACTACGTAAAAGTTCACTGCTGGACTCACACATATGCACAAAGGTTAAAGAAGCATTTTGTTGGTTGCAACTGATTAAAGATGCATACTTAATATATTGTGTGCATGAGTGCGTTATGTAACAATAAGTTGAGTATGGTTTTGGCTTGGTTTCGGGCTTGAAATGTACGCAGTGTACGGACTATCTTCTTTGTTAGACTGAAGCTGATAGTTACTAAAGTCAAGCACAGAAAATAAATTATAGTGTTTTAATAATGGATTCTAATCGCCACGAAGAACTCTAAGCCGCGGAAAGATAGCTGTATATCTTTTCCTTTTTAATCTGCCCATGACAGTCCATAGCTGGACATGAGTATTTATAATTGTAGGAAGCATTTTCCGTAAGTGCAACTCTTCGCACTTTTGTCTGCTCCTCATCAGATCAGTGATCTAGGTATTTTACATTTCCCACAGCCGTCTCTCACTACATTCAACGGACTCTATGGAGTGATGGATTTTTTAGTCTGACAAAAACTTATAACTACTAAATGCGGAAACCTGTATGTCTAAGGTATAAAAAATATATTGAAGATAGTTAAAGTCCGCCGACACAAGGCTTTGAGGCAGTGCAGCGGACATTTTCTTACCTCAAAACCTTTTACCAAAAATATCGTAAAACGTCATATAAAAATTAATTATCTATAAGTAAATTAACTAAACTATATATATATATATATATATATATATATATATATATATATATATATATATATATATATATAAACTCACTTTTTTTGCTTTAATTTTGTATAATCGAAACAATATTGACTTGATCTTATTTCGACCGTGTACTCTCGCGTTGCAATTTATATAATAATACGAAGAATTATAATTTCTTTTGAATGGCATTTGGAAAGTCAATAATTGTGCGTGCAATTGACCGTCGCTTTATGTATTTTCATTAAAATACTAGTTAATGTTTAATGAACAACGGACACGACTTGTTACTGTATAATTTGTCGGAATACATTTGGGATATTATTATTAGGCTTTTATATAATTAATAGAATCAGGCGTTACTTTGCGGAAATTCATTATATAAAAGCTTTAACAAAAATTTACTTCGCAAATATCCGCGTTATAAAATAAAATGATGTGTCTTACCTAGTATGAAGAAGCACCTCCCGCCCTCCCTCAATTGCGTGCACTATCCCCGTCACCACTAATCCCAGCACCGCTACTTCCAACACCACTACACTAGGCAAGACACACCACTGACGATAATACGACACGTGTTTCGCCTCTACACGAGGCATCCTCAGGTGATATAGACTCTACGGTGGCTAACCGCTAAGTGAGCGGCGAGCCAAAACAAGTGCCTTTTATACAAACCGATGATGCAACCGCTCTCCACCTAAGTAGTGAGCGACTGCGTCATGCGATAAAACATGCGACCAATCACCGCTGGACTTACGCAGCCGTTTGTAAAATTAAAAACAAACCGCCGCGCAACGCCCACATTATTAGAGAGCAGGCTTGAAGATATTTAAGAGAGGTGAGTTAGTAACATTTCTTTGTTCATTCAGCAATGCAACGGTATTATCATTACTTTTTAATATCTCTAACTGTTCCAACACACACAGCCGCAGCCCTTTATTACACGTATGTAAGACTTTAAAGGAGTGGTCGTTGGCTAGGTTGTGTCCAGTGTCCAAAAGATGTTTGGCAAAATGGGATTTATCGGTATTGCAATTCCTGTACGCGGCTAAATGCTCTTGCTCTTGCTCTTGCCCGGGGTGTAGGGCCGGCCCGAGGTGGTCACTCCGAGTGGGCTTGGCGAGCCCACTTCGGATGTGCGTCGGTGGGCTGCTGCGAGAGGGGTGTCCTCTCCCCCTACCGCTGCAGTTGGTATGGATGTTGGTATGGCGATGCGCCACTCGCTCTATTCTCCGCGACTCTGACGGGGCCGCACCGTCGATTGATGCGGTGGTGGTGGGGCTGCGGGGGGAGAGGAGTGTCGGTATTACGAGGCGCCGCTCTCCCTACCCTTCGCAGCCGAATCTTGGTTGGCGGCGGAGCCATAGACCAGATCCGCCGCTGGGGTCAAGAAGGCTAGTGCTGCCGAGTGCTAGTTTTTCCTGGCCCCATGGCCTTCGCGCATCGGACATGGGGGCGTCCGTCCTTACCTGAGAAGGAGATGAGGGAGGAGTAATCCTCTCCCGAGGAGAGGCCGCCATGGGGCGGCCAGCGCAGGTGGGGCCGCGGATGTGTGCGAAAGCGTTCCCGTGGCCTTGCCAATATGCGACGAAGGTGGAATACCATGGAGTTTTAGTCGGTGCTAGTCCGACATAACCCTTCATTGACCCCGCGAGGCGGGTATGCCTAGGCATTTCCCTGAAAGTCTGGATTTTTAAAATATAAAAGTTTTTATTTTCATAAGAACAGTTTTTTAACAACAAATGATTTCATATTTTCGTGACATTTACCTAAACCACAATTGACACAGCGTAAATGTCCTCTTGAATAAGTTACTGAAACCTGGGAAGAACTCTGGCCGGTGTGAGAGCTAGGGTCATCGTTAACAGTGAATATCGAGTACAATTCGTGCAGAGGTTATAGTAAGAAGTCAGTAAGAAGTGGGAGTGGGATCTATTTTCAGGCCGTGGTCAATAGGGTTAGAAGAATTATTGGAGTACATTTAGAAAGCTTATTCGTTGCTAAAGCCGTGTATCTAACAAAAATGTTGACAACATTTATGTTTCCAACTGTTTACAACTCAACAAAAGTTACCAACATTTGTTTCCGATGTTGCCGATAAATGTTTCCAAAACGCGTCTCCACCGAGGGAACAAATAATGTTTGCAACAAGCGTATTCCTTTGATGTTGCCGCCGAAAATGGAAACACGGTTCCCGACATTGTATCAAGTTTTGTTGTCAACACTAGGTAATTACAGAAACATTTGTTACCAACACGTATTGGCTACACAAAAGTTGGTAACAAAACTTTGGTGGAGACGCGGCTTTAGCTAACAAATTCGCGACAAAACCAACAAAATAACACAAATGCAAATGAATTCGACTTGTGACTATTTACTTTTGATAATTATGACATGGGCCTAGCTGTCAGATTCGATGTTGCCAATTAACAGACATAAAATCGACAAATAGATAGGGATTTTTTATTCGATTAAATAATTTCATAAAAAAGAATAATCTTTGATTCGCTTTAAGTTCTGCACGCCTTTTAAAATATGTTTTGTTTTA